TAAAAAAAAAAAAAAAAAAAATTGCTAAGTAGGAGATGATAATAGATGCTGATAATTCAGCTAGTGTTTTGGGTTCACAGCACAATCTGATGACCTAAAACATTTTAAGGAGAAATGTTGCCATTTCAAATGTAGCAGACCCACAGACAACACTGTGCGCTGGATTATCTCTGGCACACCCTTGGCCTAAGGAATAAAACTGTTACCATTAATAAATAAAATGAAGTCCAGTCAAATGGAAAAACAGACCTAAAATAAGCAAGTGATGTATGTTGCTGATATTTCAATCTGAGATATTTAATAAATACATGAAAACAGGTAAATACAACAATATTGGTTTATTTTGGGGGAGGATAGAGAAGAGGATATGGGAAGATAGTTAAATAGAAAAATTATGAAAGGGGTTATTGGAAAAATCTAAAATAAGAGCTCTTGGTAATAAGTTAGTTGCTCTTGAATATTTTCTGGTTTTTACTTGGCCATCTTCAGTGTTCTGAAAATCTGAATAAAGTTAGTCTTCCTTGCATTAAATTAAAAAGAAAAAATCTTTGCATCTTGAAATAAAATTTTGAGTAATAAGAGACATTAGCATGAAATACTTAAGCTTCTTGATGGGGAAACAATAGGAAACATCACTAAAGCTAACAGAACTGAGCCATTCTCTTTGTAAATAGGCCACTAACATACAATACTAATTCCTAGTGCTGTTACTGCTAAAGTTTGAAGTTAAATGCAGCGTTTGTCACAACACGGTTATGCCTGTTACTGCAGAAAGCATCTTGCCTCATGGTGTGAAATATACATTGCTTTCTTCTTGACAAGGTGGGTTCTGATTTCAGTCAACATACATGCATGGGACAAATGAGTGAGAACCCAGTTCTGAAACGCTGGTTGCTCAGAAGGTATCAGAAATCGTAGATGGCGTCCACAACTATTAAGCCCTATAGTTAGGGTCAGGGGTGGGGTCTTTGTGAAAGTTGGTTGCTGAATGGTCTTAAAAGGTAGAAAAAGGAAGACCTAAATGGGGAGTCAGTATTGAAGAGACCATCTGTAAACTTACTATTTATTAAATATCAAGCTGAACTGATGGCTTTTTTTTTAAACCTGGCAGAGGACGTCTGAATTGAACTAATGAAAACACCTATTATTGGGTGTCACCCCATAAATTGAGTTGTCCAGCAAAATTAACTTGCTACAGGATGTTTAGAGTTCAGTTTTTAAGTAGTTAAACTGTAAGCATGAGCACAGGTTAAATATCAGCTCATGCTTTCTCCTTTTGCCCCTCTGGATTGGGAAACAATGTATAGAACATCAGTGTAACTGCTAAAAACAATTATTGCACTCATTTTAGTTCAGGTGACTAAGTATTTTGACTGTGATTAATTTGATCCTGAATGAAGATGTAGAGCACAGATCTTGCTTAAAGATTCTTCATATGTTATGTAGAGACTGATGCCCAAGTGAGAGCAGGCTACACTTTTAATCTTTTGTTCCCTTTGGCCAGGTCCAGACATTCAGAAAGCCTGAAGCAGGATCAAGTTACGTGGTTTTTTTCTGTAAGCGGTGTAGCTTAGATCAGTAGTAAACAAAATATGCATTTGCCCTTTGGTAGGAAGATGGCAAATCTTAGGCTGGGTTCCCCATTTTTAAACCAGCCTGTATGCCAAATTTCTCTTCCGTTACAAGTATAGACTAGTTTCTGATCCCTTTTCCAGTAAAAGTGTAATGTCTGTACCTGGTCTTTGAGAGCAGGGGCCCAAATTTACTGGGCCATAACTCTCTTCTATAGCTGCATCTCTTTATCTGGCTTCAGCAGTCCACTGCTCTGTCATGGTTGCTTCCTTAGGTATGTGTTTAAAGCCTGGGGACCTTTGGAATCTATATGCTTACAAGCTTCTCCTACTCTAGATACCTATAGTTGTACTTGGGAGAAAAAAAGGGAACCTGCATTTTGGTTGATTCCTCTAAAATACCAACTCTCTTTTTAAAGAGAATTTAGTTGTCTGGGGAGGAGAGACATGGAGCAGTATCAAACAAACTTTACTAAATCATCTAATCGTTTTTTTTTTGGGGGGGGGGATGGGGGAGGAATTAAAAAATTAACTGTTATTCCAAAACATCACTAGCTATTGTTAGCATAAATTTGCAGACCAAAGTAAAGGTTATACAATAGTCATTTTAATTAGTTGAACCAAAAATATGAATACGGTTTCTAACCTAAGATGATGAATAAGTAGCTAAAAAACAAAACAAAAAAAAAAAAAAAAAAAAAAAAAAAAAAAAAAAAAAAAAAAAAAAAAAAAACTAGTCTTTGAAATGAAATGAGTAGCTTAGGCTACTCACATCAAGTGGCCTCCAGTCCTCGGTTTAATAAAATTCTTTTTAAGGGTGTTGGTGGTAGATGATTGTACAGGGGAAATAATCAGAATAACAGAATTTGGTGTTGACTTAAAGCTTAAATTCATTTAGACAGTCAGAACTTCTGAAAAATTTAAATAATGCACCAATTTATTAATGCCTTTTAACTGCTTGGTTTACTGTCAGACTTGCTTCTGAGACATTTTAATGGTAGCAGTATAGTGCAAGCTTTTCCTTGGGTCATTGGCTTGGAAATAAGTATATTTAAACAAAAACAAAATGTGGTCCCCCCCTCCCTTCCAGTGCTGTAGGGGCAGGCGCCTCCCCCACCCTGCTGCAGCCCCAGCACCATGTGCACCCTGCCTCCAATCACCATCCCCACTGCTCTCCCCAG